ACACCAATAAGTATAGTGTGTATAATATATCATAGTTTATACACATCATATTACTATTAGTGTGTCCAGTATCTGTGGGGTTAGCATAAACTCAATATTTGTTTTAAACTTTTAATTGGCCTTATATAATGATCATTTATAGGTCAGACAGGGTTTGGTTTCCAATTCGGAAACTAGACCTGTTAAAACAGTTATCATTTGTAATTTAGAGATTAAATATTTCTAAGCAGAAAAAAATGAACTATAAATATTTTTCAACCTTTTCTGAGTTGTACAATTTTAGAGTATCTTCTGTCTGAAATCTGAACATAACTTGTTTTATGATAAATGTGTAAAACAATTCCTCATACTGGGGTAAAGTTTTTCTATATATAGTCCCAAAAACTACAGATAAAATCCTTGAGCACGTACAAGATACAAAAATATATATTTTACGTCCATTTTGCAAAACATACAACATAAGCTACAAAGACAAAACATGAGTATAATAACAGAGACCAAAATATTACAACATGGAAAAATAAAATAAAAACATGTATGTACATGTAGTATACTGTAAGCTCAGAAAAAGAGTTTATCACTTGGAAAGCACTTAATAGGCACATTGAACACGGTAAGCACATCAGCACATGGTAATTTAAGCACATTTAGAACATTTGCATACAGCACATAAAAAACAAAACCATAACATGGAAAGCTTATTAGCACATAGTAGGCACATTTGCACATTGTAAGCAAAATAAAGGAGTGCAATGGACATCTCCATGTTTCCTGGTTAATTTCTTCTTTATGGAAACAACCAGGGGAGAGTGATGTTCTGCTTCATCTTTTGTATTAATGAAAACCGTGAATATCTAAGTGCGTGTGTTTAAACTAATTTTGTTTTGTTTTTACTGGTACCTTTTTATGTACACATGTTTTACCACCTAAGGAATTAGATGTCTTAAGCCCCCATATGATGTGCTGTTATAAGTTGAATTTAATGTACATTTTGTTTATATTTAGTTCTGCTACCAAAGAGATTGACTTATTGAAATGTTTTTGAAACATTTTAATGAACTCCTCAGCTTTAATGCCTTATTTCTCACTATACAAGCTCATATTGCTATGCCTCCTATTTGTTTGAATATCATCTCTAAACATTATTGCTGGTGCAGAAATTATATGGTAACTATGTTCTATTTTAGGGGGGGAAAGCAATCAATATTACAACAGACAGGGATGGTTATTGATGGGAGAAAGGAGGATGAGAAATAGGAACTGTACCAACTCTCTCATACCTTTGAGGACTTCATGAACTTTTTCAAAAGGCTGCAAGAACTATACCAACAGTGACATGACATTTTGAAATCTGTCAGTTACTTTATAGAGGAGGAACCTCTGACTAAATCATTTTCTCTCAGACACATGAAAGCCGAGTCCACAGATCCTTCCATCAGCGAATAGTTCAAATGTAGTTCAAATGCTTTCCTCGCAAACTTTTCCTTAATGGAGAAGTCAGTGATCTTTACTTGGAACAGATTGAATCTGTGAATATTGATGCTGAAAGCCTGATGAATGTGATTGAACAGCCCCTACTTGATGCTGAAACCCTGATGAATGTGATTGAACACCCACTACTGACTAAGGGCACAAATGTTGGAAACAACGTTTGTTTTGATCAATATAACACTATGGGTGGTGGGAGCAAATTGGAAAAAAAATTAAAAGTATGTTTTTAAAGATAGAAATACTGGTCATGGCTTCCTTTTAGTTTTTGTCCAATGAATTAAAAGTCAACGCAAATGTTAAGTAGTAAAAGAAATGTAAGATCCCTGGTATACATTGTACTTTTAACAATGCTTATGATCAATATCAATAAAATAAAATAAAAGTTATAATATGTAACTTGATATTTGTTAACTTCGCTCGATTTTACTGTGTCCAACATTTGATATTAAATCTTGTGTGATATATGAGAGGGATAGCACACAAGATTGTATCAATGTCAATGAAAGCAATTATTTCTTAAGTTTTCAACCATATTTCTTGAAACTTCATTTCTAAATTTCATACATCAATTGTTCAAGACAGTTTTAAGGTCAATTTCATTCAGTCAAGGTGAAGGCTACAGCTTCACAACCTGTTCATGTACATGTGACAGAGAAATTGTCAGTGCATTCCTAACTAAGTATTCAAACCAAATTTTATAAACCTTGATCCATCATTCTCAACATTAAATCATGCACTACCTGTTTGCATATACACAAGCAACCTCAACTTTCAATAAGTCCTGTTGTCAACATTTGTTGCACAATGCTATCAGTTCTGAAACCAACAATCATGACAACTGTAATAACATAGTATGTGTTCTAGCTGGTACATTTGCAGTACTCTTTTGAAATGTATTTGAAATTAATATGTGCATCTTATTTCAAATGCTAGCCTATGAAGATGATAAAGCTGAACATATGCTATAAAGTTGTTGTTTTCTTTGTGAAGAATTTATGCAATGGAAATAGAGGGAAAATAATGTAACTCTCCTAATCTTGTGTGTGTGTGTGAGTATGTATGTTTATATTTTGTTTATCTTATTCAATATTGAAACATACAACAATGTATCATATTGAATTAGAGTGCTTTTTATATTATTTGTTCATGGGAACACAGATTCAAAATAGTTCCATTTTTCATAAGAAGAGACCTTTTCACTGCAGTGAATATGTAAAACACTTTATTTAAAAGTTTTTCAAAATTATTGAGAGACTTGTAAATTTATGGGTAGCAGTAATCCACTTGCTTATCCACAATTTAGTTTCGGCAAGTAAACATCCTTATAAATATTGTTCTGTAACAATATACACTGACTGATGCAAAATTGAAACTTGAACAAAATTCACACGTATTAAAAAGCATGCCAACCCTGGTCGATGTGCACACTTTACAAGATAACTTGCTTGAATATATATTGATCAATATACAAACTTAGACGATAAGTTCAAAGTTGAGTGAAATCCATGCCTAATTAATTAGCATACTGTACTCTGATTGGTCAATGGTTTTATGCCAAGTAACTTTGTTAGATAAGGCAAGGGTTGATATCTTATTCAACAACAAAGGCAAAGTTCAAAGATGTTCACAATCTGTGCATAATCTATTCAATGGTTTAAAATAATCAGGTATTGGTCAAAGGGGTAAATGCCAGTTTCAGTTTTTAATGTTCTATGAAATACATTGTATGGACAAAGGGAAGCAATTCCAAATTCCTATGCAAATTAATTATCCAAAGGTTTAAAATGATATATTCTAGAGGAAACTTGGTACCACTCTTCTGACAAACCTATAAAGATATACTGTACACACAAGAAGAATAACTTCACAGTGGTACACTTTTACATAAAACTTTGATTCATAACAAATTAACAGTAAATCCTTCTGTACAATATGATGGGAACTTCGTCTTTATTTTGTTCTCCATTCCAAAAATAATATATATATATCTTTTGCCTTAGCTTTCAGTACTTTCAGTACTTTGATTTACTCTGTAATAACACAGATAGCTATACAGGTTTTGTTTACTCTGTAATAACACAGATAGCTATACAGGTTTTGTTTACTCTGTAATAACACAAATAGCTATACAGGTTTTGTTTATTCTCTGAAATAACACAGATAGCTATATAGGTTTTGTTTACCTCCTGAAGTAACACAGATAGCTATACAGGTTTTTTTACCTCCTGAAGTAACACAGATAGCTATACAGGTTTTGTTTACTCTGTAATAACACAAATAGCTATACAGGTTTTGTTTATTCTCTGAAATAACACAGATAGCTATATAGGTTTTGTTTATCTCCTGAAGTAACACAGATAGCTATATAGGTTTTTTTACCTCCTGAAGTAACACAGATAGCTATATAGGTTTTGTTTACCTCCTGAAGTAACACAGATAGCTATACAGGTTTTGATTACCTCCTGAAGTAACACAGATAGCTATACAGGTTTTGATTGCCTCCTGAAATAACACAGATAGCTATACAGGTTTTGATTACCTCCTGAAGTAACGCAGATAGCTATACAGGTTTTGTTTATCTCCTGAAGTAACACAGATAGCTATACAGGTTTTGTTTACCTCCTGAAGTAACACAGATAGCTATATATAGGTTTTGTTTACCTCCTGAAGTAACACAGATAGCTATATAGGTTTTGTTTACCTCCTGAAGTAACTCCGCTTGCATAGATGATCAACATTGTGTACTGAAATTGATCCTAGACATATTCCTATTTTTTACAAGAGTTGGGTCCTATTTAGGGACCACCCCTTTGTAACAATAGAATACATTATTCATTACAAGCGTTGTTAACCACGGCCACCCATTCATACATTGCATTTTACTATTACACACCAACCTTTCATATTAACAACAAGAGCTTAAAGACTGTTTCTATTTATAATTCATTTGACCCAACTTCTGTCTGTACACGTTCACCTCATTTTGTAAAAATCTATAATATACATTTACCCCTCTACTACCCTATTGTAGTCCCCAGTAAATCCTCTTAATGTGCTTATAACAAAACATTTGCTGTGGTAAATACAATATCTGTACAATCACATAGCCGAGTCATTATAACCATTTGATGTCACAAACTGGAATGGTGCATATCTGGAACTAAGGTGTTAATCTGGAACAATCAATCAATTAATGAGTTTTACCCTAGCTCTACAGGTATCCACAGGTACAAGTAATGCAGTATAAATACTGGCATTGAACGTCTGCCATAACCAGAAGGATATTTAATCTCTGTGATATAAAGCTACAATGAGTTGCTATTTTGAAATGCTCAGTAATATTTAATCTCTTTGATATAAATATAAACAGTATTTGAGAACCACCCCTTACTAACATCAGAATTGAAAATGATAGAGTTAAACCAGGGTTTATCTACAGAATTCCACAACAGTTACAGGAAAGTGTCTGTAATATTCTTCTCTAGTTGATCACTGACAATTATCTTTCCCTACCCACCTGTTATTCCTAACTCTAAACCACAATCCCCACCCTCGTCTTGTACCACCTTTATCTTACCCCCATCCACACCCTCGTCTTGTACCACCTTTATCTTACCCCGATCCACACCCTCGTCCTGTACTACCTTTATCTTACCCCCATCCCCCCCCTCGTCTTGTACCACCTTTATCTTACCCCCATCCCCACCCTCGTCTTGTACCACCTTTATCTTACCCCCATCCCCCCCCTCGTCTTGTACCATCTTTATCTTACCCCCATCCCCACCCTCGTCTTGTACCATCTTTATCTTACCCCCATCCACACCCTCGTCTTGTACCACCTTTATCTTACCCCGATCCACACCCTCGTCCTGTACTACCTTTATCTTACCCCCATCCCCACCCTCGTCTTGTACCATCTTTATCTTACCCCCATCCACACCCTCGCCTTGTACCATCTTTATCTTACCCCATCCTCACCCTCGTCCTGTATCACCTTTATCCTACCCCCATCCTCACCCTCTTCCTGTCCACCTTTATCCTACCCCTATCCTCACCCTCGTCCTGTACCACCTTTATCTTACCACCATCCCCACCCTCGTCCTGTACCACCTTTATCTTACCACCATCCCTGACCTCATTTTGTACCGTCTTTATTCTACCACAATCCCCACCCTCGTCCTGTACCACCTTTATCTTACCATCATCTCCATCCTCGTCCTGTACCACCTTTATCTTACCACCATCCTCACCCTCGTCCTGTATCACCTTTATCCTACCCCCATCCACACCCTCTTCCTGTCCACCTTTATCCTACCCCCATCCCCACCCTCGTCCTTTACCACCTTTATCTTACCACCATTCCTGACCTCATTTTGTACCGTCTTTATTCTACCACAATCCCCACCCTCATACTGCAACCTGTATGTACACTTAACACCTCTTTGAATATGTGAGCAACCATCTAATTTCTGTACCACAGCTGAAATGAATATCATTAATCTATAGTCAGCCTTACCATACTAGTACATACAAATAGTCTCTTAAACACTCACCTTGGCCAGGTACATATACATGCTGGAGCAATCAATAAAGATCTTGTACTAATAATAACCTCCCAGTCCCAATTCTACAGCAATTAATTTTTACATCTTAAGGGCATATGGTCCCTCAAATAGTATTACTAATGTACTCTGTGGTGGAGTTATTTCCATTTTTTTAAGCTTAAGATCAGATTAATGTGACAAAATCTGGACTTTTTCAATTAAATTGAAAAACCTTTCGTAGGTTTCTTCTGAACAATCAATCAACCATAACAACTAACGATCATAATTTTCAGACAGTTTACACATGACTCTCCTCTATCCCAATCTTTTGTACTGAACCAACACACACACCTTTGAACTTCATCATAATTTTCACTGCCACACTCCTGACTGAACATCATTAACAGAACATCCGAATTACTTCGGCCACCATTGGGCCAATATCAATTATGCATGAATTTTGCATACAGGGGTTTCATCTTCACATGCATGAAGTTGATAGGCGCTATATATATGTACAGTTATAAAGGAAGACTTCCCGTAAGTTCATCTGAAAATTTACATTTTTTTTTGTGCTTTATATATGTTTATATTCTATCCTTCTGAAACACAAAAAAGGTAATTTTAGAGTTAAACCTCAACTTAATTTAAAAATCCACAAGGTTACAGTTTTGTTTCAGACTGTCATGAAGCTGGTCAGTCTTGGTTCAAAGCCTGGTTAGCTTGCCAAAACATATTTTCACAAATATTTATTTTCATAAATATGTCAAAATTAACAGATAACTTTACTTTTTTGTGTACATCATGCAGGCTTTATTCCAAATTTAAATATTTTTGAACATAAAAAGCTGAATATCTGTGTTAATTTGTCATAAATTTAAGGCTTTGAACAACAGATGCACCCACTGCAAGGAACTAGCTCACACTTAATCGTATCCACATGCCTGTCACAGTCTGTCTTCAGGATCTCTCTCTATATATATGATGTATGTCTTGTCCTGTAAGCCAACATGCTTTAACTGTCTGACACAACAATTGTGTTGTCTATTATCAGTTTATTTCTTTACACGGAAATTTTCTTTGAGTAAAATCATTTTCTGGTAAAAAAATGCTTTGCTCGACTAAGTACCAGTATGTGTGACTACCTGTGCTATGGTCACACTTGGCTGGCCAAGGGTAACAGTTTATGTGTAAAAATTAAGGTGCAGTAAGTTTACGATGTTTACTGAAAAGCAAGGTTAATATAGAGAAATTGCATCTGCTTTTGAATCAATGCCAGCAACATATCAAAATTGTTGTTTACTGTAAAGCTGATGATTCAATAAAAGTATATTCAGCTTCAGGTACAAATATGATAATTTCAGGACCAGGTATGAAGATTCATTTCTACAAAACATAAAGAAGATGCCCAGGAGTCCTTAGCGCTCAAAGGAACATCACCGGCCTGTTCATCACAGGAACACTTCTAATATCACCGGCCTGTTCATCACAGGAACACTTCTAATATCACCAGCCAGCTGTTCATCACAGGAACACTTCTAATATCACCAGCCTGTTCATCACAGGAACGCTTCTAATATCACCAGCCTGCTCATCACAGGAACACTTCTAATATCACCAGACTGTTCATCACAGGAACACTTCTAATATCCCCGGCCTGTTCATCACAGGAACATCACCAGCCTGTTCATCACAGGAACATCCCCAGCCTGTTAATCACAGTAACATCACCAGCCTGTTCATCACAGGAACATCACCAGCCTGTTCATCACAGGAACACTCCTAATATCACCAGCCTGTTCATCACAGGAACACTTCTAATATCACCGGTGAGCCTGTTCATCACAGGAACACTTCTAATATAACCAGCCTGCTCATCACAGGAACACTTCTAATATCACCAGCCTGTTCATCACGGGAACACTTCTAATATCACCAGCCTGTTCATCACAGGAACACTTCTGATCAGTTTGAAGTCAATTTCTGCAGGTGTTCTACAGAAAACATACAAAACGTCTCAGCCAATCAGAGACCAGGGCGCCCATCTTAGATTCCAGCACTGAAATCACAAGCTGGGACTTCATTACAACATGAGAAGATATCAAAAATGCTAATTAGAGGCCAGTGACCATCTTGGACTTTTAGATCAGCACAAAAAGTAAGAACATTGCTTGGTGACCTACTGAGGAAAATTTGTAAAGTGTTTTGAGTCAATCGCTGCAGCTGTTCTTGAAAGAAAAAGAATCTCAACATATCAGAGGTCATTTCAGCCATTTTGGATTTTGTATCAGCAGAAAATATAACATCACTGGTTGGTAACCTTATGAAGAACAGTTTTACAGAGATTTGAGTCAATCCCTGCAGTAATTCTTGAGAAGAACTACAAGAGGCCCAATGGGCCTGCATCGCTCACCTGGTATAAATCTCACACTTGTAACCTTAAAAGTGATCTAAAATAAAGCTACAGGCAAAATATCAGTATTTATGATTAAAATTCATTCAAAAGACCCTGTTAATTTTTTTTAAAACATTTCACCCCTGTGATTGAAAGTCGAACAAAGTCATTATGTTGAACAAATTTTATAGCCTTTCATCTCAGGATGCAACTTGCAAAGTATCAACATCCTGGGACCCATGGTTATTCAGAAGAGGT